TTTTTTTTTTTTTTAACATTAATTTATTTTTGAGACAGAGAGAGACAGAGCATGAACGGGGGAGGGGCAGAGAGAGAGGGAGACACAGAATCTGAAACAGGCTCCAGGCTCTGAGCTGTCAGCACAGAGCCTGACACGGGGCTTGAACTCACAGACCGCGAGATCATGACCTGAGCCGAAGTCGGACGCTTAACTGATGGAGCCACCCAGGTGCCCCAGTGGCCTGTCTTTAAATACAGATAATGACAAGACTGAGGAACTTTCTTCTCATGTTATTTTTTATTTGCTGATGGGAAGGCAACAAAATACAGTGGAAAGAGCATGGGATTTAGGAGGTCAGCTCCACCATTAGCCACCATTGTGTGACTGTTGAGCAAACTCTTTAAACCTACTGAACCTTACTTTTCTCATGTGTTAAATGGCATCAATGATACCCGCTTTGTAGGGTTGTTTTATAAAGTGCCAGACACGTTACAGATGTTCAGTACACAGTAGCTGGTTTACAAGTAAATTTTATTCAAGGCAGCAATATTTTGCCTCTGTAGGGTTTGTTTTATAAAGTGCCAGACACGTTACAGATGTTCAGTACACAGTAGCTGGTTTACAAGTAAATTTTATTCAAGGCAGCAATATTTTGCCTCCCTTGCAGCCACGTATGACTTAATTTTGCCCAATGACATATGAGCAAAAAGAAGCTTCCTCAGCTGGGAGAAGTACCCTTTTGCCCTTCTACAGTTTCTCTTTCTTCTAGCCCGAGGTGTGAATGTGATGGCTGGAGCTCCAGCAGCCATTATGGACCAGGAGGTAACCCTGAAGATTGAACGCTGGAATGATGGATCAAAAGGATAAGGGGCCTGAATCCCTTGTGAGACTGGAGCTGCCCGCCCTGGGTTGCCTGTATCTAGCCTGCCTTTACTTGAGAGACAAATATTATTATTTTACATTGTTAGGTGTCTGTTGCAGCCAAACCTAATCCCCACTGATATGCCTAGAAAATCCTCCCACAGTCTAGACTGTTCACCGATGAATCCTCAGCTCCTATAACAATATCTGGTTCTGATACACAGTGCTCAATACATGTGGAAAAGAGAAAGGGAGGGAGGAAACAGAGCTGTTTCTGATTGTGAGAGAGGTCACCTCATGGGAGAGCACGTAATGAGAAAGGAAGAAGGCCGAAGATAGAAGCCTGACTGCCAATTCAATTGGTCTCTCTCTCCCTCTCCCTCAATCTCTCTTCCCCCCACCTTCCCCCCTACCCCTCAGGCTTATTAATGTGCATTTGGGTTTACTAGATATTTAAATTCCTAATCTGCTGCACACTCCAGATCTCCTGTGGGATCTGTCTCGCAGGTGCCTTTGACTGAAGAGCCTTTAATTTAACCGGCCTCCCTGGTGACATCCTCATTTGTCTCCTACTCCTGGAACATCAGTCATTCCCCCAACAGGAGAGTTGCAACATGATCCAATAGCTCGTTGGAGGAGTGAAGCTTCTTACTGACATCACATTCAGCATTGGTTGGGAGATGTAGTGATGTGCATTGTTGATGTTTTTCATGTTCTCATTATAAAAATTAGTCTTTCCCTGTGCAGATCATTTGAAAACAAAGGATAAATAAGAAAATTCAAATCATTTACAACCTCACGGTCTAGAGATAGCCACAATTCAATATTTGAATTGGTCTATTTGGTATATTTCTTTCCAGGCTTTTTGGTAAGATTAAGTATATTACTGGACTCATTCAATTCAGATGTCCCATTTATTTAGCTTCACGTTATATTGCAAGTGTTTCCTTGTGTTGTTAAATTATTATTATTATTATTTTTATTTTTATTTGAGAGAGAGAGAGAGAGCATACGAGCAGGGGAGAGGTGCAGAGGGAGAGAGAGAGAGAGAGAGAGAGAGAGAGAGAGAGAGAGAGAGAGAGAATCTTAAGCAGGCTCCATGCTCAGTGGGGAGCCCAACTTGGGGCTTGATCCCATGACCCTGGGATTATGACCTGAACCAAAACCAAGATTCAGACACTGAACCTACTGAGCCACCCTGGCGCCCCACTCTTTGTGTTTTAAAATACTATTTATAAAAATATATTTTTTGATGGCTACATAATATTGCATTGTTTGTATTCTGTTATTCATCTAATCATCCATTGTTAGAATCAAGGTTTCTTTAGAATTTTGTCTTGTATAATTAACTAAACAACAGGTACCTTTATACGTTTTTAAAACTCTTCTTGGAAGTTGACAAAATGAATTTCAGAACAGTTGTACACATCATACAATCCCACATCCTCAATGTAGACCTTACCACATCCTTAATAATATTGGGTATTGTATTTATTTTAAAAGCCTTTCCTGTTTCGTAGGCAGAAACAACCCCATGACATCTCGATTACCGGAGAGGATGAACATTTTTTCACGTGTATTTATGAGCTATCAACATTGTCTGACTGATTGTAAGAACACATTATATACTGTGGATAGTAATCGTGTGATTACTATACTTTTTGAAAATTTCCTTAGTTTGTTTTCCCTTTTGAATTTTTTCTTTTTTTAATAGATGTTTAAAATTTTTTTAAATTAATTTATTTCTTTCGAGAGAGAGAGCACGAGGGGAGGGGATAGAAGGAGAGGGAGAGAGAGGATCCCAAGTTCGACGTGGGGCTCGAACCACAAACCGTGAGATCACGACCTGAGCCGAAACCAAGAGTCGGATTCTCAACTGACTGAGCCACCCAGGCACCCCTAAAATTTTTGTTTAAAGGTAGAGGCACCTGGATGGCTCAGTCAGTTGAGCATCTGACTTGGGCTCAGGTCATGATCTCATGGTTTGTGAGTTTGAACCTCATGCCAGGCCTGCTGCTGTCGGCACAGAGCTTGTTTCAGATCCCCTGTCCCTCTCTCTCTGCCCCTCCCCCAGCTTGTGCTCTGTCAAAAATAAATAAAACATTAAAAAAATTTTAAGGTAAATGTATCTATAGTTTGCTTCATAATTTCTTCGTTTGCTTTCCCCTGGTTAATAGTGACCCTCATTTTTTTTTTTTTGATTTTGTATTTTTTATATTTATCACTTTAGTTCGAGTGAAATTTATTTTAGTATAAAAATATACAGGGCGCCTGGGTGGCTCAGTTGGTTAAACGTCCGACTTCGGCTCAGGTCATGATCTCGCGGTCCGTGAGTTCGAGCCCCGTGTTGGGCTCTGTGCTGACCACTCAGAGCCTGGAGCCTGTTTCGGATTCTGTGTCTCCCTCTCTCTCTCTGATCCTCCCCTGTTCATGCTCTGTCTCTCTGTGTCTCAAAAATAAATAAACGTTAAAAAAATTTTTTTTAAATATAGGTAAGACTCTAACTTAAATTCTTTTTTTAGATAGATTTTTAAATTTTTTTTTCCTTTTTTTTTTCTCATGCTCATTTATTTTGAGAGAGAGAATATGTGTGCCTGCAAGCAAGGGGGGAGCAGAGAGAGAGGGAGAGAGAATTCCAAGCAGGCTCTGTGCTGCCAGTGCAGAGCTCAACTCGGGGCTCGATCTCACAAACCATGAGATCATAACCTAAGCCAAAATCAAGAGTCAGCTACTCAACTTACTAAGCCACCCAGGCACCTTGATTTTTTTTTTTTTTAATTTAAGTAATCTCTATACCCAATGTGGGGCTTGAACTCATACCCCCAAGATCAAGAGTCACATGCTCTACCTAATGAACCAGCCCGGCACCCCTTAAATTCTTTTTTCAGTGGTTCTAATGTTAATTATTAAAGAATCCATTTAACCCACTGTTTTGTATACATACAATTTGGCATATATAAAAACACAGTAGATATATATTTCTGGTTATTTCTTCTTTTTTATTGATCTAGCTGTTAATAGAAACTATTTTGTAGTTTTATTATCTGGAAGGCAATGTCAGGGTACACATATTTTCAAATATTTTCCAGAAAAGTTTTATTAATTTATACTACCTCCTTCCTGTCTCCCCCTTCCTACCCTCAAACTTCAGCAGTGTATGAGAGAGACATTCTCAGGGCTACAGTCACTTTACTTAAAACTCTTCAAAAAAATGGGGCACCTGGGTGGCTCTGTCGGTTAAGCCTCTGACTCTTGATTTCGGCTCAGGTCATGATCTCTTGGTTCGTGAGATCGAGCCCCACATCAGGCTCTGCACTGACAGTGTGGAGCCTGCTTGGGTTTCTCTCTCTCCCTCTCTCTCTCTCTGCCTCTCTCCTGCTCACTCTTTCTCTCTCAAAAATAAACAAATAAACTTAAAAAAAAAAAAGTCTTCAGAAAACTGTAGGCTCCCATCCTGGTTGTGCTACTGACCAGTTGTTGAGAACATCTCACATGCTTTAAGCCTGGTTCCTCTTCAGCTAAATGAAAATTACAGTGGTACCTCCCTCCTAAGATGGTTTTGAGTTCAAAACGAACGGTTTATTGAAAGCTGGGGAACTATAAAATTCTAACAGAAATGGAGGCAATTGATAATGATTACATTTTTGTAAAGAGAAACATGTCTTAAACAAACAAACAAACAAACAAACAAACAAACGTGAGGGGTGCCTGGCTGCATCCGGGACTCTTGATCTCAGCAGGGTGGTGAGTTCAAGCACCGTGCTCCCTGTGGAGCCTACTTAAAATAAACAAACAAAAGAACATGTGACTGGTTTTGAGGTTTGGGTATGGAAATTCGTCTCTCAGTGCGCTCTGAAGTCTGGATGCCTCACAAGGTTCCATCTTGCCGTGTTGCTTTGAATTGCAAAGAATCAGTTCCATTTGCCTGCAGACCCAGAGGCTCCTGAATTCACTGCAAATCGGTTCGAGAGCCTTCAAGAGCCGAGATGTCACTCCACACAGGAAGGAGCGGCTCTCTAAGCGTTTTGATCCTTGACTTTGTTAGGCGGAGACATTATTTCCTGATTCACTTGAGCTGCAGATGGGTTGAGGAGGATACGAGCTAGATGACCATAATTAGGGACGGAAGTATGGGGGGGGGGGGTGCACGCACATAAAGAGAAAAATGGAACATGGAAAACAGACAGCTGCCTGCATGGACCAGGGATTCAAATTATTTTACTTTTTCTTGCATATCAGTCAGGGTTTGATCGGGGAACAGAAATCACAACAGTGATTTGAACCGAAAGAGCTTAATGGAAAGAACTGTTACTGACCTAAGGTTATCAAACTAGGGGCTCTCAAACCCAACAGGCAGAAAGAACTTTAAGGGATCATGGCGGTGAGAGCGGAAAGCGGTGACCATTCCGAGGGTGAAGGGGACCAAGGTAAGAGGTCGTAATGATGAAAACTTAACAAGATAAGAGGTTATTCAGCCATAAAAAGAAAAGAAATGCTGACATGGGCTAGAACTTGGAATGAACCGTGAAAACATGCTGGCTGGAAGAAGCCAGGCATGTAAGCCCACATATTACCTGATTCCGTTCATGTGGAAGTCCAGAATCGGGAAATCTATAGAAACAGAGAGTGGGTTGGCGACTCCTTACATAAATGGGATCACACAGGATTTGTCCTCTTGTGTCTGGCCTATGCACTTAGCGTACTGACCTCAAGGTTCAGCCGTGTCCTAGCATGTGTCGATATTTCCTTCCCTTTAAGGCTGACGAGGGGTGCCTGGGTGGCGCAGTCGGCTAAGCGTCTGACTTCAGCCGGGTCACGATCTCTCGGTCCGTGAGTTCGAGCCCCGCGTCGGGCTCTGGGCTGATGGCTCGGAGCCTGGAGCCTGTTTCCGATTCTGTGTCTCCCTCTCTCTCTGCCCCTCCCCCGTTCATGCTCTGTCTCTCTCTGTCCCAAAAATAAATAAACGTTGAAAAAAAAATTAAAAAAAAAAAATTTAAGGCTGACGAATCCTCGTGTGCATCCGCTGACGGGCGCTTGAGTTGCTCCCATCTTTTGGCCATCACGAAGAACGCTGCTCTGAACACGGGTGTATAAGTATCTGAGTCCCTGCTTTCAGTTCTTTTGTGTCTGTGGCCAGAAGTGGCATTTCCGGAACACGGGGTAATCCACTTTGAATCTTTTGAGAAATCACCATACCATTTGCCAGCGTGGCTGTGCCATTTTACGTCCCCACTGCCAGTGCACCAAGGTTCCAAGGTCTCCACACCCTCGCCGACGCTTGCTATCTTCTTTTCGGTGTTTCTTTTGGAGGGGGTGAAAATGTTCTAGAGTGGACTGTGGCGACGCTTACACATGTTTGTAGATAGACTAAAAACTGTTGCATTACGTAAGTTATTTCATTTAAGTTTACTTATTTATTTTGAGTGAGGGAAGGAGAGCGACAGGGGGAAGAACAGGGAGAGAGAGGGAGGGAGAGGGAGAGGGAGAATCCCAAGCAGGCTCCGTGCTGTCAGCGCAGAGCCCGATGCGGGGACTCGAACTCACGAACCCTGAGATAGTGACCTGAGCCGAAACCATGAGTCAGATGTTTGACTGAGCCGCCCAGGCACCCCGAATCATATACTTTAGAGAGTGCATTGTATGGTATGTGATTTATGTCAGTAAAGCTGTTTAAAAAAAAAGGTAGGAGGAGGGGTCCCGTGGATAAACCACACCCCCAGGCCTCCAGGAGGGTGTGCAGATATCGCTGAGGGGTGGGGGCCGTGGAGCTGATCGCGTGAGAGTTGGAAAGAGCTGCAAACTAGACCCAACTGAGGCTTCACTGAGGGGAGGAAGTGCCTCCAGAAGATGGGCACAGAAACAGGAAGTAGACAGGAAGGGGCGAGCCCCTTCCTCCTGCAGCCTCACGACCCCGTTCGTGAGCACGATCCCCTGCTCCCAGGAAGCAGCTAGCCCAGCAGAGAGGGGGTTTGCAGCCTCCCACGGCCATCCCCTAGAAGGGCAGGTTTGGAGCGGAGGGAAAAATAGCTTCACGACTTGCTGTCTTCATCTGTTCTGGTTGCTGTAATAAAAGACCATAAACCGTGTGGCTTATCGACAACAGACATTGATTTCCTAGTTCTGGGGGTCAGAAGCCCCAGATCATGAAGCCGGCATGGTGGGGTTCCGATGAAGGCCCTCTTTCTGGTTATGGCCACCTCCTTCTGTCCCCTCACGTGGTGGGGAGAGAGCGAGGCGGCTCTCTGACCTCGTGTAAGGACCCTGATCCCATTCATGAAGGCACAGAGCACGTGTGTGTATCAGTCAGTGAAGTACAAACAGTTGAGTTAGTTTTGTGCAGGGTTTCCAGCGCCTTGATAGAACAAAGTACAGATCTGTGTACAAGCTACGAAATACAAGTTGTATCATACCCGTGGTTCCCATACAAGGGAAGGGCTCTTCTATTTGCATTTAAGATGGGTATTGCACGCAAGAAAATTGGCAAAAAAAATGTCCCCTTAATGGTGCTTTTCCCTGCTCTTTGAGCGAGTGCGGATTTTCCTTTGCACTTGTGTGAGTCTGTTTCCCCAAGGGCTTCCTGTCCCCCGAGTGTGAGGGGTGATTTTTGTCTCTGAGGAGGTGAGCTGGGCTGTCTGTGGCTTCCCCTTCAGGTGTGGAAGTGAGGGGCCCGCAGGCCGCCTTGTGCTGCAGGCAAAAGCAAGCAGGACTTCACACCAGGGGCTGAGATGCCTTTCCCGATCCTGCCTCCCTGTCCTCGTGGAGGGCCATGTTTCTTCAGCTCCGTCCTGTCCCCCTCCCTGCCCCAGCATTCCTTCCCATTGGGCCCCCACCGCCAGACATTCCACTGTTAGGGCTCCATCTGGGGCAAATGCTGCTCTGCATCTGTAGAGTCTATTATCGTTTTCCAATGAATCTGTCCTTTTGCTGCCCAGAGCACCCTTGTTCTTGGTACCTACTGACTAAGCCCTGGCACTGAGAAGAGGTGAGTGTGGCTGCTGAGGCTCCATGTTGGACAGGAACTTTTAACGTATCTTCTTGGCATGATGAAATACTTTTTTCCCCTCTTTCGCCTGTTTTTTTTTTTTTCTTACATTATTCATTTATTTTAAGAGAGAGAGAGAGAGAGGGAGAGAGAGCATCCCCAGCAGGCTCCGTGCTGTCAGCCCCGTGCTGAAACGGGGCTCGAACCCATGAACCATGAGATCATGACCTGAGCTGAAACCAAGAGGCAGACGCTTAACAGACTGAGCCACCCAGGAACTCTTCCTCTCCCACTGAAGCTCAGGGAGTCTGTCTTCTTCCTCAGTGGGCTCCAGGGCTCATACAGACCCTCATAGGCTGGGTCCCAATCCCGTGAGGCCTCTCCTCCAACTCAGAGACACAGCACCAGCTTTAGTTGTAGCTCTCTGAGTTTCAGCTCCCCAGGGCCCCTCCTTTAGGCATAATATCTAAGTTTTAATAATTCCACCTGTCGTAGACTCCGGGTCTGGAGTTCTTTCTCGTCCAGCAAGAAAGCAGGACGCAGGATTAAAACGCTAGAGATGGCTAATGTCCGGGAGAGCTCAAGAGCCCCGATTAAGGGTCCTTGCTCAGTGTTCATTAGGATCAGAAGGCTTACAACCATGGTCATGGACGTGCACAAAGAGACAGTGAGGCTGTGAACATTAACTCACGGGTGTGAGGGAAAGGGCATTTTGAAAATATGTGGGCTCAGGGGTTTGGGTTAATACAAAACAAAATCCTGGCACCCAGGCGGAGGGTTGTTTACAGAGGACTTGAGGCACCACCTCTGTTAACCTGAACTAGTCTAGGGGACAAGAAAGAGCGTGCTACCTCAGGGTCCACAAGGGTCAAACAACCTTCCTTTTGCTAATTCGCTCTGCTTTGGGCAACTTCACCTTGCAGCCCTGTTTACCTAATTTGGTTCTTCCTTCCTGTGAAAGCAGCTTTCTGCTATTGTACTAAATTAGGGGTGTTTCCACCCTGAATACCTAATCTTGTTTACCTCTTCTGCCTTTGTTTTATATTGGGGCTTTGCCCGTAACTATCTGGACTGGGGCCTTTGCCTCTCTCTCTCTCTGCCTATTTACCTAATCATGTTTAGCCAGACTGGGGTGTGAGCATCCTAAGTCTTTCTAATGCTGTCTGCCTTGTTAACCCATCAGTGTAGGCTCAGGGAATTCCTAAGCTCTCCCCCCACATCCAGCTTCTTCCCTGTCTTCCCCCAGCCCTCGGGTGGGGGCTGCTTCTTACCGCCACTGTCGCTATGAGACTTCAGCATTCTCTCCTACCCTTTCAGTTGCCCAGTAAACAGCTTTCTACCTAGTTACCAATTCCTTATATTACATTTTCTGTTCCAGTAACTGGTATGGTTTCTGTCTCCTGACTCAATAGCTGCCTAAGAAATTATGTTCTAAGTAGGGCGCCTGGGCGGCTCAGTCGCCTAAGCGTCTGATTCTTGATTTCGGCTCAGGTCACGATCTCATGAAACGGTGAGTTCGAGCCCCGCTTTCCGGCTCCACCCCGACCGACCGTGCAGAGCCTGCTTGGGATTCTCTCTGCCCCTCCCTCTCTGCCCCTCCTCCACTCATGCTTGTTCTCTCTCTCTCTTTCTAAATAAATAAATAAATAAATAAATAAAAACTTAAAAAAAAACAACAAACTTACACTCTTAGGCTACTCCAGACTCAAGAGGAAGTTACATTCTGTGCTAAAAAAATGAATAAAGAATTTAAAAGTAAAAGAATTCTTGTCTACTGACATATCAAAGACTGGATTTAATGGGGCGCCTGGGTGGCTCAGTCGGTTAAGCGTCCGACTTCGGCTCAGGTCACGATCTCGTGGTCCGTCAGTTCGAGCCCCGCGTTGGGCTCTGGGTTGATGGCTCAGAGCCTGGAGCCTGCTTCTGATTCTGTGTCTCCTTCTCTCTGCCCCTCCCCCATTCATGCTCTGTCTCTCTCTGTCTCAAAAATAAATAAAGGTTAAAAAAAAAAAAAAAGACTGGATTTAAAATATATAGAGGGGGCACCTGGCTGGTTTAGTCAGAGGGGCATGTGACTCTTGATCTCAGGGTTGTGAGTTTGTTGGGTGTAGAGATTACTAAAAAATAAACTTTAAAAGTTATATATGTACACATATATACACATACATACATATATGTACATATATACACATATACACGTATATATACATATATGTACATATATACACATATACATATGTGTATGTATATACACATATATATGTGTATGTATATATGTATATATATGTGTATATACATATATCTATACACACATGTATATGTGTACATACATAGAGAGAGAGAGAGAGAAACTTTGGAGTCAGTTATATCTGGGTTTGAATCCAGGCTCTAAATTTTTTTTTTTTTTCAACGTTTATTTATTTTTGGGACAGAGAGAGACAGAGCATGAACGGGGGAGGGTCAGAGAGAGAGGGAGACACAGAATCGGAAACAGGCTCCAGGCTCTGAGCCATCAGCCCAGAGCCCGACGCGGGGCTCGAACCCACGGACCGCGAGATCGTGACCTGGCTGAAGTCGGACGCTCAACCGACTGCGCCACCCAGGCGCCCCTGAATCCAGGCTCTATAACTTACACACCAAGTGGCCCTGAGTAAATTACCGAACTTCTTTGAGCCTCAGTTTCTGTGCTTATAAAACGAGGACAGAGCAGCCTCCTGGCAGAGCTGCTGTGAGAAGGGAGGGAAATGACACAGTAGGAGGAAGAGCTCAGACGCCAGTGGTGGA